CGTGAGTACCAAGAACAGCTATCCAACCACCAAGAGTCATAATTAAGGGAGCGTTCCTGTTAACTAATCCAGTTTCGGATTTAGTAAATCCAGTTTGTTCCAACAACATAACAAACAGGGACATATGCACTACAGTTTTTTTTCAAATGTGTGAAGTAAAAGCAAACCAAAGTAACCACACAACCACACATGTGTCCTGCGCGAAGCGCGGGAAAACTGGTGCAAGCAAAGAGCAGTTGGTGTTAGTTTTACTTCTTATTATATGAGGAAGTCTTAGGCCAATCAGTAAGCGTGGAAACGCAAAACCAAAGTAAATGTGAGTTACTTGCTACACTCAATGAAAACTTCTCGACTGAAAGACGTGGTTCGTTTAGAAGGTATACCTCGTAGCCTTTTACATAAAGTGTACGTTGAATTTTTCCCTCTTCTTTCTTCTTGGACAGCCATCTCTCACAGACGAAAGGATAAAGCTTGTCTGTTTCCAGGTCTCGAATCTCCACACGATCCACAAACCAAGAAGGACTAATTTTAGAATTGTCATGGCGAAGCTTCACTTTAAAAAGATTTCCAAGTTCAGCGGCTTCCAGAGCAAATATATCTTCCTGTTGAGCATGAAAGAAAGAATTATGAGAATTGTGGGAAAAGGAGCCTCATTTGTTAAAGCGGAAACACCTAGCGAGCTAAAAGCATTCCACAACCACTAGGTAAACAATATATTTTTTGAAAAATTTCTATCCCAAGGAATGAAAGAGGGCATTAAAGTTATGGCAGTCTAACTGTAATGTGCCTTCGTTATCTAAGCATAGTGCTGTGCAAAAGTAATACAACACGAAGTTGGCCGAAGTTTGTTCATTTTTCAACCAAAAATTCACCGATATTTCGTCGAAGTTCCGTATCGAATGACATGATACCTTACCTAGACGTTGGAGAAATATCGACCTATTAAACGAAATATTGGAGATATTTCGAAAAATCGTACGAAAGATGAAAAACACGATAATTCGGACAGAAGATCTTTCCGAAATGCAAGCGAAAATTCACAATCGTTTCTTTCGGAGAGCGCAAGAGGAGAGTGAAAGCTTAAGGGCCATTAACCGATCTTTTCGAGCCGTTGCTAAGGAAAATTTATTCTCATATAACCTCATCATTCTTAGTTAGTTCAGAGTTATTTCATGTGTTTTAGCTTTTTCATGATTAGTAACACTAGTGATGACGTCATTAGGCCACGCCCATGGTCATGTGACCAATACAGAAAAAATGCAAAGGCTCCCAGGCAAATTACTTTATCGGGATTTTTTTCATTGATTTAATATTTGAATCTAAATCATCATTACGCTATGCATCGATTTTGTTTCATTTCTACAAGGTCAGATTTTGAGAGCATTTCAAAATATTGAAAAATTCGCAATTTTCTGTAAAAAGCATGATTTCGAAAAAGGAATGCATAGCTATGTTTCCAAAGTTGGTTTTAATCGAAATTCGTCAAAAAAA